ATGAATTTTGTGAATAAAGATCAAAATGATCTTCCATCAATTTCAAAACATATTTCAAGCAGAAACAGAGCACATATATGGGTTATGTACATTGTATACATTACAGAAATTACTGTGCTGTTTTAAATACAACAATGAAGATTTTAATGCATTTATATGTTTAATATTATTTTAAAACCTGCATTAATCATATTGAAATACTCAATTATATTACTTAACCTGTGGAATAAATGAATGCATAACTAACATTGACTACCATATTTCTGAGTTAAATACAATTAAAGGAGGATAGGTTTATCATATATTAACAGAGATATGTCATTTAGGTTTAACACAATTGCTGATATATTCCTTATTCCTGACAGTAAATATTTTTATAACATGTACATGACATTCCCTTCCTTTTTTATTTGTGAAAATCAGTGCTTGGATGCACAAAAGATGGGTTTAATTGGAGGCACTTTCTTTTATGTAGTTATTTAACAGTTATTTATATAATTAAATTTAACTTTAAAGTTCTAACAATTTCACTAGCTATTGTTAACCAATAATTGTCTCCAATTTTTGTGAGCTTGTGCAATGACTATGTAAGCCTGAGAAATGGTTCTGCTTCTTTAAAAAAAACAAAAACTGATAAGTAGGGAGATGTGCCCATGCCTCTGCCCACCTTGGACCCAGTTACTGCTCACTTCTAATCACCAGCCCATGGAATTACACCTTCTGATCATCAGCGCATCTCATGCAAGATAGCCATGAGTTAGTCATGAACTAGGTCTGACCTGATAGTAGTTGGGCCCCTGGATTCTGAACTAGTTGGAGTTTCTGAGAAGTCTTCAAAGACAAACCCCCAAAACATCAGTAATCCAGTAGTGGAATGATGGTGGCACAAGTAATAGTTATGAGAACATCTTGTTCTGTGCACCAGCAGCTGTCCAGTCTATGGCCTCCATCCACTGTTCTAGCAGGATCCGAATGCAAGAGAACTCCATTGTCCTGCTTCATTGAGGAAATGCAATTCCACAAGAAGTAGAAGTAGAATTATATTGGATTCAGGGGACGTGAAAGATAAGCAGCCTGTGTTGTCCATCAAAAGCCTAACACCCATCAAGTACCAGATCAAGTTCCTTAAGGATTTTCCAGTTTAATTGCAATTGCAATAGCACTTAGACTTATATTCTGCTTCACAGTGCTTTACAGCCTTCTCTAAGCGGTTTACAGAATCAGCACATTTCCCCAACAATCTGGATCCTCATTTTACCGACCTCAGAAGGATGGAAAACTGAGTCAATCTTGAGATTTGAACTACCAAATTTCTGGCAGCTGGCAGTCAGCAGAAATAGTCATAGTGCATTCTAACCACTGTGCCACCACGGCTCTATTAATACTTCAGTATGAATTTTAAAATTGTGGGGTGAAAGTAGAGTTCAGTACATATCAATCAATATCATAGCTAGAAAGTCTATCCTCCTCTCCCGCTTTTGATTTTTAAATTTGCGTATCTCCCTTGCAATTGTCACTTGATATTTTCTCCTATTGCCCTAGGTTAATTCATTACAACTCTTTCAGCCAGGAAGAAGCAAGAATTTTTCTAATAGATTTGGGCGAGATGGGAAATCTTTTAATGAGTATTCATGATACTTTACAGTTGTTGGGGATTTTCTTTCTTTACTTTCTTCTGGGCATTATGAACATGGAGAAATTGGGAATATTTTCCTTCAGCTTTAATGTCCCTTAACTAGGAGACCCTGTAAGAGGAGAACCATGATGGGATGAAGAGTATAAAGTTCCTTGTGGTGCTTTGTGTGGGATTGACATGCTTCCGTATGTGGTTGTAGAGTCTTGTGTGATATTTATCATGTAAGTTGCCAAGTTTGAATGATGTGTGAACTTTGTTGAATTGGCGTGGAAATTGGCCATGGTCATGACCAGCTGTGCTGAATTTCAACTGGAAAAAATCAGATTGGGGAAGGCTGATTAAGATAGCACGGATAGAATGGAGACCTCATATGATCCTATACCCTTCTGCCAATGGTAAATCTTGCTGAATATTGTGTTGTGCAGCTGCATAAGTGCAGCATTACTGCCTCACCAGTTTAGAAGTAGCCTGCACGGGGATAAGGTGCAGGGCAAAAATGCTTTGAGTCACACCAATTACTGCATTATTATTGCTCTCTATTTCTTCTGTCTCTGATCTCTCCTTTTCCACCTCCTGAGCTCACCCTGACAACAGCTTGATTAGTGTATGTGTTTGTGTATAAAATACTCCTTTCTCAAAGCATTGCATTTAATGAAGTGAACTCTGATCTTGTGAAGACTTTACATAGTATAGTAGTAAAATGTTTAGACTTTAACATGCTTCTCCCTCCCCAGAGTGTTTATTGTCTCAATAACACATTGTGAATTAGGCTGTAATTCATGATCCTTTAGACATGGTTCTTAGGTTCTTAGGATTGTATGCGTCGGCAGTTGGAAATCCTTAATCCTTAAATAGGGATGCTGCCCTTTAGATGAATCAATGGCCAGCTTTTATGCCTGTGCTCAGTCAGCGATTAATTGTTGACTTCTCCCTGGTGTCTATAATATCATTTATAAATGGCACTAACATGAATATTTATTTAGTCTTGCCTTCATGATGTACAGTATATGAATGGATTTCCAAAGCAGCTTCCTTCTAACCAGCTGCCTTCCTCGGTTGCCATGGCCAATGGGTTGTGGAGGCCAATACCTTGATAGGGCATGAATGTAGAAGTAGGGGGAAAATACAGGTAGTCCTCAACTTCCAACCATAACTGAGCCCAAAATTTATGTTGCTAAGTGAGAAATTTGTTAGTGAATTTTGCCCCATTTTATAACTTTGCTTGCCCCATTTGTTAAGTGAATCACTGTAGTTGTTAAATTAGTAACCTGCTTGTTAAGTTAATCTGAACATGCTTCCCCATTGACTTCCCCATACAAGTTCATTGTACTTCTATGCAGTTCACTGTATAATTGAAACAGAGAGCTTTGGGTAGCACAACTTTCTAATTCAAGTATGTTTGTTTCAGATTGTTTGTTGGTGGCCTAGTAATTTAAATGGAAATGGCAGCAGTTTAAATAAACACTCGGATCTTTTGAATTGTCTTAGGTGAGATTTAAGAGGGGAGAAGGAATTGCACCATTACAGTTTTTTCCCTAAGGTATTTAAACATTTAAACAAATTATAACTTCTCTTTTCAAAAAAGTATGGGTAATTTTACTTCATTAAGAAAAATAGTTTTCATAAGCACTGGGGTTTTTGTTTCTATTTGTACTGATGCTTTTCTACTAAAAATCAAAACAAAAAGGTTTGCTACAGTATCCTTAGGTTGCAATTTTATGCCAAACTCTTGGCAGTGGTAAATAAACATGGTTAGGATTGTGATATATAATGCTTTTGATTCAATTGCACCCTTTCTAAAGGATTTTGTGAAGAAGCTATGTTTGGCAAAAGTAATTTTTTTCTCTTCTTTTGAACATTGTGCTGGTGCTTTGTTTATTACTTTTGTCTAAGAAAACAAGGCATTGTTGAATTCTTTAGGCACAATGCCCTTGCTGATTATGTTAGGCTGCTCACAAAAGTCCTCTGTAAGTTTTTTTTTTAAATCTTCTTTGAGGTTCTGATATGTCCACATGAACTCACCAGCACTTTCTACATTCCCAGGGACAGCCACAGGGAATCTGAATGTGAGGATGTCAAACCAGGTAGCAAATACTAGATGGAACAATTAAGATGAGGAAAAGTTAGGGAGAAATGCATGAGTGCTGCATTATGGACTATTTCAGAAGCAAGTTTTTTTGCATATGGGGGATGTGTCATGGAGAGGAGGTGTGGAGTCTGGATCATCTTGACTGATTCATATCCTCAACTTATTGAATATTCATAAATTGAATGTGCACAGGGATTTCTTCATGTGCCACCGTTCACAAATGTGGCCCAGCATGAAAACTTCAGGTATCCCAAGTGTGGTTCTGATCAAACGCCACTTGTATAAAACCATCAATGTACCTGTTGCATTTTAAGTGTACTAAGATATTCCTGGTGGGTGGCTACATAGTTAAGTACATGCAAATGCAAGAAAGAAGGGGTCAGGTCTATTCTGCAGTTTGGAAGCAGCTGAATTCCTGTCACACCACAGGAAACTTGCATTTTGTTTGTGCTCCGCGCAAATGGATTTTTCCCAAAGCGTCAAAGGAGCCACGAGCAAGGCTCTGTTGCCAGCTGTGCTCTGATGCTGAAACGTGAAAGAGTTCAGAGACACCGTGTGCCAGTGCTGAAGCGAGGGGAACATAGACAAAAGTGTCAAGGCTTGAAATTTGCATTCCCAGGCGAAGAAAGCAGCGGAGGCAAGCTTCGATAAGAGGCTTCCTGAAAAGCAAAGCGAAGGTGGTGGTTGTTATTTTGAATTTTGTTTTGTTTTGCTTGTTTTGCACGTCTGAAACCTTGGCTTGGCTTCCTTAACCATTTAGCTCTCTGAGCGGCGATGGGTTAAGTCAAGTCAAGTTTGGCCATAATGCGATGGGAAACACGGACAATCGGAGCCTTCAGCGGCTCGGTCCTTTCCCCCAGGATATTTGTTCGTCTGTCTGGGGCTCATTGCCATGCAAAGGGGCTGACATCAGAGCACCTTTTGTTGCTTAAAAGCTTTCTCCCGGAGAGCGAGCGAGCGAGCCCGAACTAGGAGTCATGTGGAGTTGGGAGAGTCCATGTCGGAAAAAGGGCAGAGAACCAGAGTGACTCTACCGACCAGTTGAAAGCTTAACGCCTTCCCAATTTTAGCTGGCAGGACCTGGCTAACGCTTATTTGGTCCAGACCTCTTTTTGCCCTCGCCGGAAAGAAGGGAAGGGACCCTCCGGGTTTGTTTTTTTTGCCCCCTCCTGAAGGCTGGAGAGGGTCCACCCCCCTCCACAGAAAGAAGATGGTTCGCGCCTCGCTCGGCTCTGCCAGCCTGTTGCTTGGCCGCTGCAAGTAGGCAAAGTTTGTGCGAGATATGGAGGCGCTCTGGCGCGCCGAGGAGAGCTGAGCCCGAGTCCGGCGGCGGTTTCCCGTCCCCCCCCCAAAGGGTCCCGCGGCCTCCCGCCTTCTTCCCTTGCCTCCCCGGGGAGGGCGAGCCAGGCAAAGGACGCGGCGGCGGCATGCTGGAGAGGCTGGCCAGAAAGATAACCGGCTAGGAAGGCTGGAGGAGCAGCAGCGGCGGCGGCGGCGGCGGCCGGGCGAGAGGTTGGAGGCTTGCGGGGGTTGGCCCTCGGCCGGCGCCAGGCTCCCCTCTGCGGGGCTCGCGTGTTGAGCCGCGCTGGCTGAGAGGCAGCGGGCGATGGAGGAGGAAGAGGAGCAAGCCTCGGCTGCCGAGTCCCAGGAGGGGGCCAGCGCCAGCGCCAACACCAGCACCGGCGGCGTCCCCGAAAGTTTCGCCAGGCTCTGGACGGATGTCATGGGGATCTTGGTGAGCGGCTGCTCTACGGAGACGGGAAAGGTGACTGGGGTGGTGCGCTGGGGAAGTGCGGGTAGGGGTGGGGGCTTTGGCATCCTTTTTTCGAAAGGGGACTTTTGGGAATAAAAATTGGACAAGTCCAAAGTAGTCGCCTTGCTGGCGCAAGGTGATGATGGTGGGGTGTTTCTGGATCGGGCGCACTGGAAGGGAGGAGTGTGTGTGTGTGTGTGTGTGTTTGTGTGTAGCACCGTTTGACCAGAAGCAGCACTTCTTGCTTTACACGCCGACGCTGCCATCCTTGGTCCCGCTTGGCTTGCGCAATCCGCCCAGGAGAGTGTCGGGCGGGGTAGGAAATGCTGGCGGTTTGGTTTGGTTTTGGGTTCCCGAATCCCTCCCTTTTCTTGTGCTTGCAGAGGAAGGGAGAGTTTGGGGTGGGTTTTCAGTGTAGGGTCTGAACGCGCGCACGTTCCACCTTTGCGCCAGCATTAAAAAAAAGAAAAGTGTGTGTTTGGGATTGGGGTGGGTGGATGGGATGTTCACAGAGTGATTCATCGGGTCTCCGTAAAGCTCTTGATTACGGAGTACGAGGGAAGCTCAACATGTTGCTTTCATGTTGCCGATCTCTTTCCTCCCTCCCTCCCCTGAGGTTCAATAATTCAATAGCTGCGGTGGATCTAAAATGTTTAGCTACACTATGCATGCCCTGATTTTAATTAGTTTAGGCGTTATAGCCACACCAGTTGCAAAGTAGGGGGAGAACTGACTGATGGAACACCTCACTCTTCGACTTCTAACCACTGAATGGCAAGCTAAGATCAGAGAATAAGTTGATGGCTTTTGAACACAAATGATATGTTTTTGTTCTAAAGCACAATCAGGTTTCTTTCCTTGCACAGTGCCCATTGTTTACTTTTGTGACACCCACCCCTCTGAATTATCACCAATGTTATCAGCAAGCGATTGGAAGCTACCAACTCCCAGTTTATTTATTTCAAAATATTTTAACTCAAGGCAACCATCAGGAGTCAAGCCTGATTTGAGACCCCCTGATGTTTTGAAATAAATTGAAATTGATAAGTTTTTTTGAAATAAGTTTTGAAATAAACTGTTCTTTTAAAAAAAACCTTTTCTCAACTCTTTCTTTTCTTTTTCTGAATTTCTTTAGGCAAATTGGGAGGGGGAGAGAGAATCAGCAAAGTTTTAGTATATTAGAATCTGGCAGTGTGTTTTTTCTTTTAAAATACATTGTTCGATGTGTTTAAATATGCCTATGGCATGGAAGGCAGCAAGAGATGTAATAGTCTGCAGGCTTATCACTTTATGTGATGCTTATCTAGAAATATCAATTAGTTGCATAGTTATTAATAACTTTAAGAGCTAATTTCAAAAAGCAATATGTATTATTAATTGTCTTCTCTCTTTCCTTATCCTTTGATATCAGAAAAATAGCAAGTGAAAGTAGAGTTTCCTTCAATGTATTTTTGGCACATTTCAATAATGCATTGAATGGAAGGCAATGTGCAGGTGAGTGAAACTGAGTGAGACAAACTTTAAACTAGGTATATGAAGACGGTTAATGTATCAAGTAAAGTCTGATAAATTTGTAGTACAGTTGCTGCAGTGAAATTGCGACCTATAGCTGGGAATTCAGATTGAATAATCAGTGGTGTGGATGGTTCTAGGGTCACAATGAAGGAATAACTGAGTATCTAGGCTGAAATATTTTTAACTTGAGAAATGAATGGATGCAGTGGTCTTTATGACTACATATGTAAGAGCTTCCAGGCTGACAAAAAGAATGCAGCAGCAGTCCCTCTGTTGCTATCCCCCACATGATGTAACAGGTTATTTTACCTCTCTGTCTTCAGAGACACAGGCGATGACAAATAACCATGTAGGATGAATGACCCCAGGGGATAATATGGATGGACTAGCCTGCAGGTCAGGAGTGCACACTTTTTCTCAGCCAGGTGTTGTATGGCATGGCAAGGGCTATCCTTCAAAATTGATGGAACCAACATTCAATTTTGGGAGGAGGCATTAAGGGATGGAATGAGCCTTCAGCTCTACAAGGTTTAAGGCAATAATTTTGTCATCAAAAAACCCCAAACCCCTGAAAAAGCAAACGAAAAGGATCTTGCTCATAGCCCACAAAAGCGGTGTGTGTGTGTGTGTGTGCTTGTGTGTCACATGTACCCCTGCAGTCATGACATCTAGACATGTAGTCTAGAAACCAAGATTTTCCTTGTCTAATGTAAACAAGTCAATTGTTGATGGTAGACTATTGGCATTATTTGAACAAATCAGTGTTTCAGACATCAAAAACAACCATTTATTTCATAGGCAGACTGGTTCTTGGAAAAACAAAGATAGTTTTCAATAGACTTGTATATATTTAATTATGTTTGAAAACCTTCAGAAATGGCCAAAACTAGGATATTGTTGGTATTAAATTGCTGTGCTCTTATTGATAGTATCATTTTCTACTTCAGGATGTTTGTGACTGTGGAAATTTATATGTAGTCTTTATTTCTGAAAATATAACATCTGAGAATAAAATGTTGGTGTTTTTTTCCCCAATGGCAATTTGGCCTGTTCAGATTCCTTGCAAGACAGAAGCCAAAGTAAACTGCACATATACACTGGAGTTATGGAATAAGAATCTTAATTGTATAGCTTGTGGTGTTAGATAATCAGATTCTTGAAGCCATACATTAAAAAAAAATCTTATCTCTACAGGAAGTCACTACCAATAAACAAAAATGGGTTGGGGATTTCAGAAATCAGAATTGCAGGAAAAAATGGTTATACTATTGTTTTTTTAGGAAATGATATCATGCTCTCACTCCAATCTGAATAATGTGTTCCTGCCTTGAAATATTTATTATCAGAATAGCTCACTGGCCATATGCTTTATTTACTGGTTTCCTTGGGATTTCATAAGAGTAAATTTATCTCGTGACATGTTTCACAAGCTTTTTTATTTAAATAAAATCCTACTAAACTGGATTGTTAGTGGGTCAGATTCTGTCATAACTGGCTTTTCTTCTTTCTAATAATTATTTTTATTGTGTAATAATGATAATTGGTCGATTATTCCATTGTGCTGATGAAAGGAGAACTCACACCATAGTTATGATGTACACTTATCATAGTTGATTGGAAAAATGGCTCTAATGCCACTCCTACAACAACTAACAAATACTTCAGGAAATAATTGTATTTGCTGAACTGGAAATGACTATCCTGCCATGTTACTTGTTCTTTCTAATTAACCTTAGGAAACACTATTCACTGCACTACAATCTTAGCATATAAGAGCGGCTTTCCTAGTTCTTAATTAGGGCAACAGTATTCATTGGGTTCAAAAAAAACCTTTCTCCATAGTGTTACACTAATTACAGTTTGGAGTTGTGTGTGTATATGTCCACATGTATACAATATAAAGTAGATAAGTACTTTGTTTTATAATACTGTAACTGTTTAGCACTGATGAAGAAAATGTTATTTTGTCCACAATCTCAGAAATGTATATAGAAAAAATATATATACTGGTTTAATTAAAAATATTAAATTTTTAGTTTTTAAAAAGTAATTATTATGTAATCTAACAGAATTCAATAAAATATGGATGTTCATATACTATTTTGTCACTTTTGGTTATTTGAAAGAAGTCTAGTAATTTCAGGAGGGAACAATATATTTATTTTTCCTTTTTTATTGTTTTCCTGGAAAAAAAACTCTTTTCATTAAACACTGGAACAGGATCAAACCATATAGAAGTATTAGACCAAAAAAATCCCTTTAGCTGTTAAATATTTACAAATTTGCCCAACCATTATAAAAAGATATTTAAAATAAAATATTTATATTTGAGCATCTGGAAATACATAATTTTTTAAAAATCTGCAAATTTTATATTTTTCCAAATTTTATTTTAAAATTTTAAATTTTGTTTTGCAGAATGAGGTGTTTGGATATATTATTTTATGTTGTGAATATATTAACCAACGAAAAGTACATTTAAATATATGTTGAGGATTGCTAACAATATTTCACCGCAGTTCATCAGTGTAAAGATGAATTACATACATCAGTTTACCATTTCATTCAAAAGTTTAGCCTTGCTAGTCAAACCTCCTTTTCAATTAACAGAACCTTTCAGTAGTAGAAAGTTAAACCTGCCGGTATATCTAAGAGATACTGTAGATTCTATTCAGACCATCACAATAAAACAAATATCGCAATAGAACTAGTTACATGAATTTTTCGGTTTGCTAATAAATACCAAATTTCTGTTTATACTTATACTGTAGTCTTTGAAATATGAAAAAGCATTATGTCTAAAAAAAACAATGTATGTACCTCAGTTAAAATACTTTATTGCAAAAAATGCTGTTCATCTTCTGAGCATGCAGCAAGTGCTGGTGGAAGGTCTTGTAAAAAAAAAATGCAATAACTTTGAAGTGCAATAAAACACAGAATGCCTGTACATCTTTCTTCACATATTGTATGAATATGTATTTAGTATTTAAGTGCACTTGTTTACAGAATCAGAATAAAAATCAAGTGAGTACAGCAGGTGCAAACATTTGAATGCTCAGTCAACACTTTGTAATACTTCCTTTGGCAGAAATAACAGCTCCAACTGGTTCTAGAGTTGGCCAAGACTTTATTTTGTTTTTGGAATTTTCACTGTCTTCCTCGCAAAAACCTCTTTCACTTCTGTAGGTTGGAGTTCTCTCCACCAATTTTCAATAAAAAGCATGTCCAAGGTGTCAGGGTTCCAAGTAATAGATTGATTGCAAGCAAAACTCCGAGGAAGGTAGATTCCTCAAGGAATAGCTTTATTGGAAATATCATACTGGCACATATCTGGTGAAAACTGACTCTGAAGGGTCCCTTGGTTTTCACCCAATTAAAAGTGAAAGTTCCCCCCCCCCAATCCCAACAATCAGTCACATGGCCCAATCAAGGCAGCACCCGCTGATCTGGTGATATCACTCCTTCCT